TGTAATAAAATGAAAAAATATATAAAAATATACTGCAGCATATAGCTTTTATCAACACTATTTTTAATCTGCATTCTTAGTAACTTGATAATTAATTAAATAATAATTTTTTAATGGAATTGTTCATTGTTTGAACATAATCACTTTTACATGCTAAATACTTGTAATAGAATAATTTAAGAGCACTGAGCATTATGCAGCAATGGAGTCTCTAAATCATATAAACAAAAAGGCTTCAGGAGTTTGCATGACTTTTTAATAGTAAGTGATCAATTAACATATTTATGCACCATGAAGTTAAATGACATTCCATCAGCCTGCTCTCCCTCCCTCCATAATCTCCATCTTGGATGAGCAAAACCCACCTTTTGAAAAACTATTCCTTACCACTTTAGATAAAGGACTTAATCTCAAATCCCTTCCAAGTACTTTCGAAATCTTACTGTTTAGTTAGCCAATGAAGTGGTTGTCACATGACATAATCACATGGTATAGGAGCACCTTACAGATAAATGCTCTCAATTACAAATCTCAAATACTCTGTTTATAATATTCATTATCACATAAGTTAATGGTGTATCTATTGGACTTGTTTTACAAGAGTAATGAAAATTTATATAAAATTACACAAAGTAACAAAATATCTATCATAAATATTATATCTGTTCCTATATATGTATACATGTAGAAGTAAATTTTGCAGTTTTCACAAGAAACTGTGATCTAATGGTTGTTATGTTTCACTTGATACAGATATTAACTACCTTTTTATCACACCCGTGAAAATGTTTAGAGTATGACAGCTTGATGTTTGTAGAACTTACTACGTAAGTGTCAGTTTTAAACAGGATAACCAATACATTTTCTTCTCTTTTTTAGTCTCTTTAAGTACATATAATTTTCTATGATACTTTGTGCAGCAATCAACTGCAAGATAAAATAAAATAATTACCAAGAACCCAATTATATTACGCCCCCCCAACCAACCAATCTACTTGTAAACAGTTCAAGGGTGTGTATATAATTCAAGTCACAATTTACAAAAAAAATAATTGCAATGATTTGAAATTACAGCATCATAGAAATTACAAATACTTTTCTTGTATTTTTCTTCGCACAAGAAATGTATAATCATCAAGTTCCATATATATTAATGTTAATGTACACGCCTGTGGTGAAATTTCATCTTTTTATGAAATTTCATTTCAAAAAAGCCCAAACTACAATAAGTGGGACTGGGATAATAGCTTTAGATTACGTACTTGACACACAAATTATCTGATATAAACATTTGGCCATTCTCTTAATTTTACTTCAATTTAACCTGACCTCAACACTGGTTCGAGTAACATCACACATGTATAAAACACAATTAAAACTTCCAGGTTGTGTTTTTTTTAAGAGATATACATTTAATTTATCCAGCATACAGTAGGGTCCCTGATGTGTAGCAACACCCTTAAGGTCTGACCCCCAATAATCATAAGGCTATCTGGAGAGGACTGACAATATTATTATTATTGAAGAATAAGAATAAGATTTTTCATAATTGACAAAATTTATAAAGTCTAAAATGCTATTTGTACTACTGTTAGTGTAACAACGAATCAACAATATCTTGTTACTTGATTATTCCATTCTGACACATCTTTGAATTAGGAAAATATTTACCATGCGGAAACTTTTAAATGTGATTTGTTCAGCAGGACACTGTTGAAGACAACACAATCTTGTGAGGGTCGACCATCACCACCTGACACCCCACTAGAACCTGAACTACCTAATACCATATTCAAGGACACAGTATCACTCCTGTTCAATTTTTCCCCATTGGAATGCCCTATCCATTGCCCTTAGGCCTTACACAGTTACAAGCAAGTCCCAGTTTAGACCTCTGTACTGGGCAGCTGCATCCTTTTTACCAGTTCTTAGCCAACTTTGATTTTAACTTTTATCTCAGTCTTGTATTTCTTTTTAACTTGCTTTCACATTGTGTCTATAAATTTGCACTGCTTACGATTTTGAAGCATCGTGATGACTAACACGAGGGAGGTCAAGGTTGCAAAGGGGAATAACTACCACTGCTTCTATTCAAGGGAAATAAGAAAATTTACAATGACATTTGTAGGGGCTCTTTAGGGGATTTTTTCCGATATAGAATCTATAAGCATTTGTAAATTACGATCTCTGCGGGAACGTTTATAATTATTTTACATTATTATTTACTACACATGAATAAACCAATTTTAATTACATTTTATAATTAATTAAACAAATGTGCATTTGTTTTACCTGTTCAGTTGCTGGCAAATGTCATCCCAGCATTTCTGCCGGGATCTCCGGATACTCTCCTTGTTTGGGCCCGCAAGGGCACCAAACAATAAATTCTCGTTCCCAAGGACGAGATCTATCAAGGTGGACTCCTCTGCCACTGTCCACCTTGATTTATCCGCCTTGGGAACACATTCAACTTCTGTCTCCATATTTACAGCAGACGAAGTGTAAACTTCCAGTACTCCGGGCCGCTTATGTAAATAACGAAATCGACTCATTTTCGTGCTCAACTGAGATCGGTCTCAGAAGTTTTTATAATCTCACTTTGAGCTCAAATCTCAACTGAGTTCAAACTCGGAGTTTTGAGCTGAGTTCTGAGTTGAGATTTTTAAAATGTTTATAACCTCGGGGCCTGGAGTCTATGTATCTCTTAGCTCCAGCAGGTGAGGTGGTGTTGACCAACTGGTATTGCTTACAGTTTGTTACACCTGAGGTTAGTCAAAATCCTCTATGCTGTTGTGGCGTAAATATTGTTGGTGCACCATAAAACCAACTAAACAAACAAGCAAACAAATTTTCTTTATAATATCCTTTAAATTGATAAGGGACTGTTATCTGATGGAAGTTTTACTAGTCAGTTTTGGAAATTAATTTGGTAAAGAATTTAGTTACCAGAAAAAAAACATAATTGTTTTTGTAGGTGGTTATACTGTTTCTTTTGTTCTTCACTTATTTCAAACTTATTGTATACACAAAGTGGAGGTGTTCGTTTCCCAGTGATTGAGGTCCTTGTTTTAAAACAACTTGTCCCATACTGCTGTGGGTTCAGAACATTGGTGGTTCTACTCAGGTGCCTGTTCATGCCTGAAATAATGCACGGAATGGGGGAAGGGCACATATGGTCTTCCACAACCAGTAAAGCTAGAAAGTTTCCATATGACATATACTGTGTTGGTGCGACATAACACCAGGAAACTCCCCTCCCCTACACACACCTGGAAAAAGAAATAAATAATAAAATGATAAAAAAAAAAATAAATAGAAATAAAATAGAAATAAAAACACAAAGTACAAAACAGGATATGTCTAAAGTCAACAACATAAATTTAGCAGGACATTGGGTTATGGACCTTAGTATAATGCAAACATTTATAAAAAGAAAACAGGTCATGTTTGAATATTGTTCATATAGATGTAAAATGTTGAAGGATTGTATTACAAGAAAACAATATTATCTCTTTATGAAACTTGACCAAAGACATTGTTTGGACTTCTGAAACCAATTGTACCTTTCAGATACATGTATAACACATGTACATGTACCTAGGACAATATTTTGGTTTTCTTTTTCCATGGCATCCCTTACTTTCCTCATAAAAAATGGTGTGGGTGTAGGTGTTTCAGTTTACAGATTGAGAAATACATGTAGGACTTATTATTGTTTATATGAATCAAATTTAAACCTACAATCATAGTCTCCCATAGAGACATACTTTTGCATTACAGACAACCTGATTTGTTACAGTTTTCATTTTAAAATGTTCATTAATTTTATATTATGAGGGCTGTCCAGAAAGTTTGTAGACAAAGCTATAAAATTATTATGAGCAGTCATATCAACATTATGATTGAATATTTTGCTAAAGTATTTATCTGCTATATATTTCTAAATTAAAAAACATGATAAAAAAATAAGGGCAAATCGCCAATCACCATGGCAACATGATCAACGAATCACTTTGATTACATGACGATAGCATGTTATTAATTTGACGCTGTTGACGTTGTCAAAGTGCTCCATGACAATGTATATATGTTGTATGTAAATACTGTAAAAATACAAATGTAAGTGGCAGTTCGGTTATTTATGAAAAATGTGTTTGCTAGGTATGTATATTTTTGCTGACAAAATTTGTACAACGTATGTATTGTTATACAATAAAAAATGAAGAAGTATATGAACTTTCCAGACATCCCTCGTAGTCCACTTTGCAAGGACAAATTATTTTTTATTATCCCATATCATCAACTTAGTGCAGTAATGGGTAATTACTCCAATTAGATTTAATTGTAGTTATTTGTAATTTTAAGTAAGTTGTATTTACAGTCGGGGATTTAAATTTAGGGGTTTTTGTGACAATTTTTGCATTCTTTAAACAAAAATCGTTTTTTCTTTTGGAAAAAAAATTTTATTTTTGTTTGTTTTATTTTGTCAAAGGGAAACAAAATTTTCCCTTTTTGGGCAGTCTGTTTTTTTTGTGGCCTTTCCCTTAAGGTTTGACAGTACAAATTTTACAAAAAAATAAAAGGATTTAGGCTCCATCCTTATTTTGGTTTAAATCTTCCCCATTTCCCCAAAGGGACTAACATGTACCCCTTTTCCCCTGGTACAGGTTCATTCCCTTTGGAGAAAAAATGGTTTTTTCCCAATTTTTGGGAAAACTACCAGATTAGTTAAGGGTTGTTCCCTGGTTTTTTACTCAGAAGTCGAATTTTGTCCCGGGGGCAAATTATGACACGGGGGGCTCCCCCCTCCCCTTTGCAGTTTTTTCTGCTCCCATGAATTAAGGGTTTTTTAATCCCCCTATTTAGTTTTACAAATAGTTCATTTTTCCCTGAATTATGTGATGTACAATTTTTTGGACAAAAAAGTATTTTAATAATGTATTTTGTACAAAGAAATATAATGTAATGTTATTCATTGACCCGGAATTTCTATGATTTAGATTGTCTCTGAATGGGTCGGAAGAAAGTTACGACTTATCATCGGCTGTCAGTCAACCGGAAGTGACGACCATGACGATAAATGGCAGAGATGTGGTTGTCATAGACGCAGAATTATTTTCACAAATTATTGACGAGCTGCAAACTTTAAAGATGAAACTTAGTCAGTTGAATGAAGTGATTCAGGTATGACAAACTGTGGTTTTTGTGACGCCTCTACGGAGTAGTGGCGACATATAGGGATCACTTCTCCGTCCGTCACAAAACTTGTCCGGACTACTCCTCATAAACTACTGGTGCAATTTCATCCAAACTTTACAGGAATGATCAGTATCAAGTCTAGTTGTGCATATTGTCAGCATTTTCTGGTTCAATGATTTTTGTCAGAGTTATGGCCCTTTAATAATTTTTATTTTTAAAGTTTGTCCGGACTACTTCTCTTATACCACTAATGCAAATTCAATGAAACTTTACAGGATTGATCTGTAGCTCAAGTCCTTGCGCATATTGCACGGGTTTTCCGGTTGAATGATTTTTGGCCGAGTTATGGCCCTTTGATAAAAAGGTGTTTTTTTCTGTGTATTGCCAGATACACAAAAGCTTGTCCGGACTACTCCTCATAAACTACTGGTGCAATTTTATCCAAACTTTACAGGAATGATCAGTACCAAGTCTAGTTGTGCACTGTCTGTCCGTCTGTCACAAAACTTGTCCCAACATGAAATTGGCCATCATGAGGCGACACATGTGATCACTGATCGCACTTGTAGTATAATTGAAATTAAAATTGCTTCCAGAACTTTCTTTTTATACTTTTTAAGACAGGTTTGTTAAGAATAAGTTATATCTGGAAAATGTCATAATAGTTTGGGGTTTTTTTTGTAGATGTACATATATGTACATTAGCTTGTTCTTGTATTAGTACATATGTTTGCTCTGGTACATGTATTGTGGTATTAGGACAGGTTAGTTTTGGTAAATGTTAAATAGTTAAAAAAATATAAAAAAACCCCAGAAACATCTAGTAGATAAGTAGCTGATAATATATGACTGGTATGGTAAAAAAATTTATTAACCCTTAACCTGCTGAATGGACTTGCCTAACTTTGAATGTAGAACAGTCCATTCAAAGCTTAAGGTATTTTCAAAAGGCAAAATTGAGCTACCAACAGTATACAGCCTGGTCAGGCTGCATGGATGAGCAGGCTGGCCTGGTTCTATACTGGTAGCAAAGGCTGATCAATTTTAGTTCTAGCAAGTTAAGTGTTAAGTCACTGTTAACGAGTAACAAATAAAGATGAAATCGGCTTATTGTAACTTTGTGTTTGAACTGGAGAAAATGTTTTTTGTCTGTTATATAAGTGTCTTTTAAACCCACTCCTGAAACTTTATATGTCAACATTTTTTCATAACAGGGTGCAAAAAACGCTTTTTTCATGCCCCATTTGTGTCTCCTTTGGGTTTTGGATAAATAAATTTAAGGCAAAGGCTTTTTAAACCATTAAAACCAATATAGCAATTTTGGGGAAATTTTTTCATGGGAAATTTGGGTTTTGGTTGGTGTAAACCACTTTTTAAATTTTTACATAAAAAACAAAAGTGGGGGAATCTGCCCCAAATTTTTTCCTATCCTTGCAAAATTAATTTTAAACCAGAAAATGAGCGTAATTTTTGTTAGCTTGTCAAGCATCCCCAGTAAAATTTCCTCTTTTCTGCGGTGAACTAGGACATTTAGTTTTTGGGGGAACTAATGCCCAAACTTTGTTATGTGATTTTAAAAACTGATTCATTCCCGTAACTTGAGTTTAAGAAATTAAATCATTTAAAGAATAGTTGTGTTGTACTTATAGATAAAACCTTGAAAAGTAAAGGCAGTCTTCCCTCTGGTGGGCAATAAAAAGGCCCACTGGCTTTAATATTTAACACTTCTTGATTTAAAGCAACAATTGAAACTAGTAAATATAAAATGTAAATAAGTCAATATTTAAATGAGCCGTGTCACGACAAAACCAACATAATGGGTTTGCGACCAGCATGGATCCAGACCAGCCTGCGCATCCGCGCAGTCTGATCAGGATCCATGCTGTTCGCTTACAAACCCTATAACAAGTAGAGAAACTGATAGCGAACAGCACGGATCCTGATCAGGCTGGTCTGGATCCATGCTGATCGCAAACCCATTATGTTGGTTTTGTCATGACGCGGCTCAAATGAGCTATTTCTATTAGAAGATCTTTTATCGTTGTTTCAGGATGCTGAAAATCTAGACGAGGACTTAAGCTCAGCTGCAATATCATTACTGTCTTCATCTGCATAGTGCAGTCATTCAAGGTAAGTTCTTTAAAAAAAAACGTTAGTGATTTAAATATGGAGTTACTATTTCATATGAAATACATTTCATTACTATGAATAATAAATTTAGTTAATTTAAAGTTTCACTTTTTATGCCTTTTCAAGTGTATTGAAAAGTTATTTTTAGAAACTACATCAGTTAACATGTACTATTATAAAATTTTAATCATTTTTGACTATAAATGAAGTTTGTGCAGTCTATAATTAGTATTTTGATGTAGAAATCCCTATAATTAACAATGAACTGTTCCAAATTCAAGACTGGTCAAGTCCATTTTAGGGGTGTCACTGTAAGAAAAATGCTTATTGTTTAAACAGCAAATTAATAAACGTGTTCAACGTTAAACGTACTGTTCTAATAAAATCCTTTGATTTTCAACATTAACTTTGTTTCATTTTGAAAAGATATGTCAGTTTGTTCATATTTTGTTGTACATGTACTCAAAATGGTTACAATACATGGTTAAATATGTTTTTTCCGTTATGGTCATACCATACTCAATCAGATATGAAAAATAAATTGTTGAGTACAACTGAAATACAAACAAGTGTTTTATCTTGTTATAAATAACTTGGGTGATATTTAGAATCAATTTCAAACTTTTTTGCCTCTTTGTCAAATACTTATTTCGGTTACCAGTTACTGAATTTTCTAACCATTTTTTTTGTGTGCTAAAACCGACTGTACCTGCTAAACCTGACACCCCTAGTCCATTTCATTAATTCAGATGTGTAAGAGTGAAATACCTGTAAAAGTAAATCATAAATGAGTTATATTTTCTCTTTTCAGTGCAATTAATTTCGTCTGCCAGTGACTTGTAGGCATTTAATTAAAAAATGTGAGGGTAATAGAGAATTGATTGGAGGGTAAGGAGATAGGATTTGACAGAAGATGAGGAAGGTTTTGAATCATCAAGTGCTATATGGTTTATATATTGAAACAACAGTGGCTAGTTGTCATAAAGTGCTATAGTGGAAAAACCGTTAAAATGTAGCCAGGGTAGAGTGGTATAACATCACTCAATACACAAGTGGACCACAGTACACAAACATTGGACAACTTGAAGAAAGTTCATAGTACGAGAATGTTTTACTTAGGGTACTTCTACATAATTTATTACATCAGATTTCTCATTTCTTATATCGAACGATATGCTATGTATTGCTGGCATTGATCTTATTTCAGTATTAACCCTAAGTCTACTGAATATATCCACCTGACCAGTGCAGGCCAAGATCAGACATAGTCCACTAACAGCACATTGGTATCATCTGATCATGGTCTGCACTGTTTGTTATTCAGTTAAAACATATTTTGAAATTTTTCCCTAAAAATGATGAATGGTTTTGTCCAGATTGAGAAATGGACAAGTCCATTGTAAGATATTTAGGGTGGAAAGGGTTAAAGAAATGTTTATTGGTACATTCCATTGATCTGCTTATTTGTCTGTCATTGATTTGAATTCTCTTGAGATTTTCAATTGATGTTTGCTACCAACAATTAGTCCATACTTATTGTAATATCATACAATATATTTCATTTCTATGCATATATTCATATGTGAACCAATTATTCTCAGGCATTTAATTTCTATACACAACTTAATGCAAGGATTTCCTAAAGTGAAAAAAAAATTCTTTGTAGCATAGTAGTTCTTTTTTTCCCCCAGATCTTCTTTTTGACCTAGTATCACATTGACTTACCTTTTCCCAGTGCACCATCAATTATTGATCAGTTTTCTTAGATAATTAGTTTGTAGTTACTATGCACAAGACATGTATACTTGGTAAGGTTTGAAGTTTTACACTTGGTAAGGTTTGAAGTTGACAAGGATAAAGGTCAAGATGCCATAGGTTAGAAATTGATTTTTCCACTTTTCTACATAGTTTGACAGTTTGTTTCAATGTCTTTTATGTGTTACAGAGTGTCCATTGGTATCAACGGTATTCTTGTAAAGGAGGAAGTCAATTGCCTATGCATAGAACTGGTTTGATCCTGACTTTGAATGATGCACTTATAGTCATATGTCCCTCTTTGTAATTATTAATTAACTACAAGAATTGCTAGCTTATACTGTGCAGAATTTGATTTTTTCATGCAGTTTAATTTATTCGGGAAGTAGTGTCTCAATTAATTAAGGCTTTATTGAAGATGTTTGATGGCAATATGCAAGTGTTGCATATTTTTCACTTCACTATAATACTTTTTTTATGTAGCATTCTAAAAGCTTATCTAGTCATTTTCATCATTAGTGTGCTATATAAGAGATAATGACTTGCCTCTAGCATCAGTATAGAGTCAGACCAGCCTGAAAATATGAGCCTTCTGACCAGGCTCTATACTGTTGACTGCTCGATTTATGATTTGATATGAGCCGTTTCATGACAAAACCAACATAATGCGTTTGCGACCAGCATGGATCCAGACCAGCCTGCGCAGTCTGATCAGGATCCATGCTGTTCGCTTACCAACTCTATTACATGGCTACTATTATAGCATGGGTCCTGATCAGACTGCGCTGATGCACAGGCTGGTCTGGATCCATGCTGGTCGCAAACCCATTATGTTGGTTTTTTCGTGACACGGCTCATATATGAAAGGAGATCTGAATTTTAAGATGGACAAGTTCATTATACAAATTTAGCAGGGTAAGGTTCGGTAATTATAATATATTATAATACATCAATGAGATGTATTAGAAATAAATAATGGGTATTGTTTTGATACAGCTTTATTTCGCTGTTGTAAATAGAGGGGGCTTAAATACACATTATATTATATAGGTCACACTGTAAAAATTGACCAAAAACAAGGTTGTTTATTCACGCATTAATGTATTAATATCAGATAATTAAGCAAAAATTCCTTTTCTATTTATAGTATTATTATAACAAAATTAGGTAAATGCCTATGACATTTATTTATTTTGTTTTACAATATTAAGAAGATAGTAAAATTAAGCTTTTGAAATTTTCTAAAACAGATGTCAATGTTATCAGGGTCAGTAAGGTCATGAAAAAGTTCTTGAATTCATCATCAGGAAATGTTTTTGAAAATTTAAGTATTTTTGCTTTGTTCCAAACCGGACAAATTGGAAAGTTTATTTGCTTGGGCATTAATTTATCTGCTTTTAAACAATGGTTAATTGACATATTTAAAATTAAGAAGTATGTAATGACCAGCATGTTTTGTACATCAAACAATAATATGATTTATCTCTGAAAATCCACACTAGTACTTTAATTCTTCATTGATTTATCCATTTAAACCTTAGTATTCTTTTATATTGAATAGTGATATTTGCTGTACTACGCATTTTTTATATTGTTTACAATAGATGTGAGTATGTTACTTTTTTTACTGACTCATTTATGTTTTTTTTATCTCACCTGAGCACAATGAATGTGAAGGGTGAGCTTTTTTGACCACACATTGCACTCAATGAAGGGAACATAATTGTTATCTTATTGCATTTGAAAAATATTATGCTAAAATCTTCAACTCTGTAATTGTTCACCTTGTTTTGAAATAAGTTTCGTGAAAAATGTGTATGAGTGTCCCTAAGATACACACAGTGAAAAGTATAAATTTTGTTTTTCAATATTCATACAACATTATTATTTAACATATCATAAAGATATGTAATAAATATACAAAATTAATGGATAATATTATCATGAAAAATATAAGATTCACTTGTCAGTTGTCATTGTTACTTATGATTTTGAAACTGTTTGCAATGAAAGTTATATTTATTATATTTATTATGATATGATTGAGACTAGCTATTATATGAGTACAAATATCTTGATCTAGGTCTTGTACATTGTATTTGGCTTGAGTGGATTTTGCTCGGCTAGGATCACACTAAGTGTAAAGTGCTGAGTGTGATCCGGCCTAGTGAATTCCATGAGAGCTAAATGCTAGTGTATTGTAAGATTCTCATATAATGAATCTTTTATTATTTACCACCTGGCACTTTTATCTTAATTTACTTATTCAGTGGTTATGTAAGTTGTCATTACGTCAACAAATGTCGTACAATATCGCACTTGTATACAAGATGGATTTTCTTTCAGTTACATCTTATTTATCCATGTAACAGTTTATTTATTAGAATATTAACTGGTATGTAATGAACTACCCTTTTGATTATTTGATTTGGGTTATTTTATAGTCATGCCATATATGTAATATGGTACCTAAGGTTGTATTGTACCTTTCTCTCTCAAGTTGCTTAATGTTTTGATATTTAGGTAATTCCAATGAACTTTTTTGCTTACAAAATTATAAATGAACTGTTTTGCTTACAAATTTCAAATTGAACTGTTTTGCATGATTTTTTTTTTTTTGCTGATAAATTAATAGTCATTCTGCCGAACAGTTAGCACTTAACAGATGTATACATATAAATATACATATTGGCAGGTTTACTTAAATGACCAGTAGTTGCTTTGTCACAATACAGTAGTTTACTTACTTGATATACATGTATTTACATTGAATTTCTATGCATATTCATAGCTTGATTGACTGTAAAGTTTATAAATTGACAATAAGAACATAAATTATACATACATGTATGTTAATATATGGTTGCAAGTTGGTTGTGAAATCCCAGTGTTGTATTTAATTTTCTCTATAAATAATGTGAAACAGAGATGTTTATAGTTGATTTAAATATTGACTGTCTCTCTTTTTTTTTTTTTTTTTTGGTGTGCCTTGCATGTTTTGTGAATAAAGATAAAGCAAACTGAGTAAATTTATGTTTAATTTATAAAAAAGAGTAGATTCAGGAACTCCACTCAGGTCAAAAACCATAAAAACATAAAATTTGTACTTTTTACATAGATCAATTTGGGCACTTAATACAAAAAGATATGCAAAAGATAATTAAGAAATGTACTCAGAAATAAATTAAAAATCGTATTTTGTGCTATTCTTAGCTCAATTTGCAATGGTTTTCAAAATTTGGCCACTTTACACAATTAAGTTAATTATTCTGTACAAATGGTGAGAGCTAATGATCTGCAATTTGCACAAAAGTTATTAGTCTAGAACTTAAACAAATGGAACATTAATCTCAAGAAGTTATTTCTAGCCCCAACTTGTCATATAACCTCAGTGGAGTCCCTTTAAAGGTGCAGAGAGTCTGTATAGAAATTTAAGAATAATCAAGACTTGATGAAATTCTACTGATAAACATGAATGAAGGAAAATAGATACATTTGAGCCGCCTCATGACAAAACCAACATAATGCGTTTGCGACCAGCATGGATCCAGACCAGCCTGCACATCTGCGCAGTCTGATCAGGATCCATGCTGTTCGCTATCAATTTCTCTACTTGTATTAGGGTTGGTAAGCGAACAGCATGGATCCTGATCAGACTGCGCGGATGCGCAGGCTGGTCTGGATCCATGCTGGTCGCAAACCCATTATGTTGGTTTTGTTGTGACACGGCTCATTTATATTGTCTTGATATTTTTTTAGGTAGATTTGTATATTATTTATAATTGTTGGAGATCTTAGTCAGTGTTGATAGTAAGGGTAGGAAGAAAGGGATACCAGCTTAAATTATTAGTGAATTGAATTCTAAATCAGCCGTTTATTTCAATCAAAATGTATCATTGAAGAAAATCAAAAATTTCTGTAGAGAAAGAAAAATTGTTTTTTTAAAAGGAGAATAAACAGCTCACTAATTATACAACAAATGCATTTTATTTACAAAGTTATGTACAATGTAATGTTTTGAATTATAATTCTTGGTTATTTAAAAGAGTTTTTTCCCACAATTCTGCTGAATTCTGTTTTTCTATATTACACAATAGATGCAAGAAACCTTATTGTTGTCTTTTTTGTCAGCTTCAAACAGACTTGTATTCATTTTCTTGTTCTCTTCCGCACTTCGTATATCTTGCAGAAAATAAAATTTCTACGAAGCAGCTTATATTTGAGCGTTTAGAAATATTAAAAAAGAAATTTTGTTACTTCTCTTTGCGTATCATTAACTTTGGCCTTCAGCTTTTATTTTTTGTTGTTTCAAGTTAAGTATTTCAGTAATTTTATCTTGGAAAAGTGCATCATGTCACTGTTAGGCCATCTTCAAAACGGTGTCCTGAGAGCTAATTATAATGCATCGGTGACATTTGTTTCTAAAAATAGAAGATAGGGAAACCAGTTGTTCATTTTTACTAATTTACATATAAGAGACCGTACCTGTAGATTAGGGGTACCAAGGGGGTTCCTTATTGTTTATATATTTTATCAACAGCAAATTTCATTTTCCTCTAGAATAGCTGAAGGGTACTTCAAAAAGTCTCTCTTTCTTTAATGGCATTCATATCCCTTATTTATTTTACAATTCTGTCATGCTCAACTCTTTCAGTGCTCCATTGACAAACATTTGCCACATGAACAATCTATGTATCATGTGTATAGACATTTAAAACATTGCTTTAATTTTATATATTCTACTTTGTTTGTGAACAGATTCACATTTTTTCTGCAAAGTTTTATGAACAAATTCTATTTTTATTTCTGCAAAGAATACAACCTACTACATACATTTCTTATTCCAGATATTTGATTTTAATAAAGATCTTGTGTACGGTGGCATTTAACTTGGCTTTAGTGACCGTTGTTCTTATAAATTATTTGTTGTTTTTTTTGCCATATCTTTCATAAGTTATTAGCATATCTATTTACTTGTGTTTTTAGAACACGTTCATGTGAATCTTTATATAATTAAGTTAAACATTGCTGCAACTGTTGATAATGTAAATGTGCAATTTGCCTTAAGAAAAAGATGCATATCTTTCACTTTTCAGTATTTTTAAAACTTTATGCAAACTTGTGTTAAAAGCGTTGTTCATTTTTCAAGCTTATTCTATAGTTTGAGCTGATAGAATTCGTGTTCACAGTAAACATCATTTGAACATATAGTTCAAGCTCATTAATAGTTCGTATTCATTATGTAGTTCTCGCTCATTTCATAGTTAAAGCTCATTACACAATTCAAGGTCATTACATAGTTCAAGGTCATTACATACCTCAGACTCATTTTCTTATTTAAGCTCATGTGCAGACTCATATCCTAATTCAAGCTCATTTTATAGTCTAGACACTATAATTCAGGCTCATTTCACAGCTAAATCTCATAACATGATACAGTCTCATCTTATAGTTTGGACTCAAAATTCATGCTCATTACATGATTTAAAGCTCATTTTTTAGGTCAAGCTCATTTCATAGATCAAACTTATTTCATAATTCAAGCTTATTTCATAGTTCAAACTCATTTCATAATTCAAGCTCATTACATATTTAAAGCTCATTTTTAGGTCAAGCTCATTTCATAGATCAAACTTATTTCATAATTCAAGCTCATTTCATATTTCATTCTCATCAGGTAGTTCATGCATTTTTCGTACATCAAGCTCATTACATATTTGGAGCACATTTCAAAGTTCATAGCATGATTGAATCTCATTTCATAGTTCAGAATCATTGCGCAATATCATTACACAGTTCATGATCATAGCTTACTGAAGTTCAAGGTTACTGAAGTTCATGATTACTGAACATCAAGGTGATAAACACATTACAAAGTTCAAGGTCATTTTATAGTGGAAAAACCATGCTTGTTTTCTATTGTTTTGTGAACAGTGAATCATGATGTATTTATACTGTGTCTATTTTGTAGTAATGTCAGATTGAAAATAAACAGAGGTAATTATATGTGTTGAGTCTATTTATATTTTTATAATCCACGAATATCTGACGTTTTGTTATGCAGAAATGTGCAAAGTTCATGTTAATTATTTAAACAGTCCAGGGTAGCTTACACCAGAAGGGGTTTTAATACAGCAGGAGCTTGCTTGCAAATATTTTTTTCTCATTCAGAAACAAGAGTGCTATGATGGTCTTACATTACTCTCCTGAGACGCATTGTCAGAAAATGCCATAATGCTCCAATATAGGACATTCAGGGGCATTTCCATTTGGCCATAGAGACACGATTTCATATCATTTAGAAGGAATTCAAGTGAATGCATTACTGTTTGGACGTTTTAAGAATGGACCTTTCCAGAGTTTACAGTTTTATGTAAATTGGCTAACTTGTTATCCAATTGCAACACGGATATAATACAAAGTCAGTGGTTGTCTGGTTGACTTGGTTTGCACAAAAGAACACATGGTTGTGTTTGTGATACTGTTTGTGAGCAGTTGACCTAGCAATGAATGGAAAAGGTGTGGCTAAATGTTCCGCTACCAAAAACCGGAAAGGTCCATTACTTGATGATTTATATTCATGTTTTACATTCCGGTAACATACATATACCTATAAATAAAACACCAACGAAAACAAAAGTCACGACATTTGTAAAACGATTAACTTTATATTTATCAAAAATAAATCATATACTTAAAACACAAAAAAGATTTACTTCTTTAACAATTTCGGAATGGATCATTTCATTTTCTGTCATTTTTAATTCCAAAACAAGCGAGAATAGAGCGAAATGCGTTGGTGAAAAATCCTTTCTTTATTTTCTTCTTCTTCGCCAACTCATTTCTGATAGCATCTTGTAGTAACTTCTCACTGATTTGCCAAATGCTAGTAGATTGTGACTTTGGGCAGATATCTGTAATGTTCTTGTGTAAGTTGGCATGTTGAATATATTTCACAGTTTGGTCACCTGACGTCTGCTGCTTTGTGAGTTGGCACTGGATGTCGTCTGCTTCTCGATTGTCCCTGTTTAACATTAAAAATATATAACGACTTTTATAAAAATGCAATATAACTGTTTAGAAAATTTGCATAATAAATTATGAGATGCTAAATATTTAAGAATAAAAGAAATCATTGGTAAATCATTCTTCTTAATCTTAAGCAGAAAAGTGTTCATTTCATATATACACATGAAAAAATGATGGTCATTATTTAACACTATGAGGCAGACAAAGAAAAAGGTACATCTATGCAAGCATTACTTACCTTTTTAACTTCGGTTGGCAGTTTGATGAAACATCTTCTGACACTTTTGTACCATTCCATGGAGAAGCGGGTACTTTGGAAGTTTTTCTGTCATTTCTGTTTGTATGTTGATTGTAGTCATAATTATCGTCAAGATACATCTTCAACTCTGGAAAATAAGAGACGATTTAAAGCATAATGCAACGTTAGATTTAAAAATTACTCCGCACTTGATTATACTAATGATGTGAAAATGCATTGGTCGCAAAGAAGTACCAGTTACACAATAAACATATAATCTATCTTGTAACATTTTTATTTTGTAAAATCTTTGAAATCGAGTTCGATAATAAAATATCATTACAATGCCATACTTTTACACAGTTTGATATAAGTCACTACAGCAATTGTGAAGTGTCTTAATATTTTTGTAACTTCCCGAAAACCTGTACGTAGTACGTTATCAAAATTAGTTATTAAACAATTTATTTCAAATTAATTTACCATAAGCAGACTGGTTTCTTATTTCAGCTCTAGAGTTATTATGTCCGGTTGTGCGTCTTTTGCGCTGTGCAGCTTGACCATGTTTTTGTGGCATCGACCTCCTCTGACCTTGTGGTGGTAAAACGCTCTTACTTCGCCTTTTCTTCTGTGAGGTCTTATCATCTGCTGCTAATGTAACGAAAAACAGAATGTAAAAATCTAGTGAACAACTTTATGATGATGCAATGTTCTATTTGATGTACCTCGTTGATGGGAGGGAACCGAACATTTGCTATTGCCTTGTAAGGCAAATTATTACTAAAATGTTATCAAGTTTTATAATATCTGCAGAAATTGTCCAATAAAATTCTTTTAATTAAGCATTTGATACACAATCTAGACCGGACCAGTTATGAGAATTTCTTAATCTTACCTTTTCTTCGATTTGTCAATTTTCTTTGGGAATCCTGTCTTCTATTTGTGCCACATAAAGACTTTGCCCTTTTTGATGAACAAACTTTGTCCATTCTTGAGTGAGCTTTGTAGTCGTTTCTAGATAATCTGTTCATTATTCACTGTAACAAGATTTTTATATTAAATAAGTGTGCTCGCAACAAATCAGTTTGTTCAACATATTTGATTTATTTGAAAAAAAATGTTGTCAAAATTAGAACAGAAATCATAGTTTCACTTTTTCAAAACTACACATTGATAGTGGCAGAATATTTTGTAGTTAAGGTGTCTTTTTCTAAACCTTTGAAGAGATGGTGATGAAGTCATAAACCATGTGAGGAAGCGGACTTTGGGAATGGATCGAATTAATATTTTATCACAAACGAGCTTAAATAAATAAGATAATTATAACTTAATTAGTTGTGTAACATTTCGAAACACTTTACTGACCATTACATTCGGTAAAACCTATCAATAAAGAAATTAAAAATAATGATATTAAAAACCGCATCTACATACCGTTACGTGTTGATATCTTATGTTGCGGAACGTCGTTTCTATGACACGTTACGTCAGAAAATTAATGATTACGTCATTACAACGTTACTGACGTGATGAAAGTAATACAGAATGGGTCTGACATGAGGTATCTATTAATCAATTTTCTTAATCGTTGATTTAATTTCACTTTACATTATGGCGTTACCGACATTAATCTGAATCATTAATTTTCCTTGCATAGGTTCAAAGAAATTTGTATAAAATAAACAATTTCTAATTCGTAATATGTAAATTACAATGTGTGTATTTAACGTTAAAAAACTCGGAAAATTCATAACCGCGAAAGCACTGAATGGCAAATTTGAATACAAAAGCGAAAGTGGTTAATAGAGCTGCCATTCTGTAGAAAAATATTCGTCCTGAAGAAAAATGACCTGCGTAAGGTATAGAATACTAACATCAATTAATCTGCTCTATTTCAAATGACCTGTTAACTATCGGAAGCTTCTGTTGTTGTCGCAATATTAATACAACATTCTCTTTGACAATTATCTGACCATGACCTTTCTGTTAATATACTTCGTTCAGTCATAGAAATTCTATTTATTCCTGAACAATTGCTGACTTAATTTGTTTTTAGCTCACCTGTCACAAAGTGACAGGGTGAGCTTTTGTGATCGCTTTTCGTCCGGCGTCCGTCCGACCGTCCGTCGTCCGTCCGTAAACTTTTGCTTCAAATGACATCTCATCATAAACCACTAAGCCAATTTCATTCAAACTTCACAGGAATGTTCCTTTGGTGGTCACCTTTAAAAATTGTTCAAAGAATTTAATTCAATGCAGAACTCTGGTTGCCATGGCAACCGAAAGAAAAAACTTTAAATATCTTCTTTTAAAAAACTCAAAGAGCTAGAGCTTAGATATTTGGCATGAAACATCTTCTAGTAAGTGTCTACCAAGTTTGTTCAAATAAAAGCCCTGGGGTCAAAATTGGCCCCGCCCCAGGGGGTCATTGATTTTCCCTATATACATATAGTAAAAACTTAAAAATTCTACTTTTAAAGAACCCATGGAGCTAGAGCTAAGATATTTAGCATGAAACATCATCTAGTAAGTGTCTACCAAGTTTGTTCAAATAAAAGCCCCGGGGTCAAAAATGGCCCCGCCCCAGGGGGTCATTGATTTTCCCTATATGCATATAGTAAAAACTTAAAAAATCTTCTTTTAAAGAACCCATAGAGCTAGAGCTAAGATATTTAGCATGAAACATCTTCTAATAAGTGTCTACCAAGTTTGTTCAAATAAAAGCCCTGGGGTCAAAATTGGCCCCGCCCCAGGGGGTCATTGATTTTCCCTATATGCATATAGTAAAAACTTAAAACATCTTCTTTTAAAGAACCCATAGAGCTAGAGCTAAGATATTTAGCATGAAGCATCTTCTAATAAGTGTCTACCAAATTTGTTCAAATAAAAGCCCTGGGGTCAAAATTGGCCCCGCCCCAGGGGGTCATTGATTTTCCCTATATGCATATAGTAAAAACTTAAAACATCTTCTTTTAAAGAACCCATAGAGCTAGAGCTAAGATATTTCGCATAAAACATCTTCTAATAAGTGTCTACCAAGTTTGTTCAAATAAAAGCCCTGGGGTCAAAATTGGCCCCGCCCCAGGGGGTCATTGGTTTTCCCTATATGCATATAGTAAAAACTTAAAAAATCTTCTTTTAAAGAACCCATATAGCTAGAGCTAAGATATTTAGCATGAAGCATCTTCTAATAAGTGTCTACCAAGTTTGTTCAAATAAAAGCCCTGGGGTCAAAATTGGCCCCGCCCCAGGGGGTCATTGATTTTCCCTATATGCATATAGTAAAAACTTAAAACATCTTCTTTTAAAGAACCCAAAGAGCTAGAGCTAAGATATTTAGCATTAAACATGTGCTAATGGGTGTCTACAAAGTTTGTTCAAGTAAAAGCCCTGGGGTTAAAATTGGTCCGGCCCCGGGGGTCATTGATTTTCCTTATATGTGTATAGCAAGAACTTAAAAATCTTCTTTGAAAAACCCAAATAGCTAGAGTTTAGATATTAAGCATGAAACATCTTCTAGTGAGTGTCTACAAAGTTTGTTCAAAAAAAAGCCCTGGGGTCAAAATTGGCCCGGCCCCGGGGGTCATTGATTTTCCTTATTTGTGTATAGCAAAAACTTAAAAAATCTTCTTTGAAAAAACCCAAATAGCTAGAGTTTAGATATTAAGCATGAAACATCTTCTAGTGAGTGTCTACAAAGTTTGTTCAAATAAAAGCCCTGGGGTCAAAATTGGCCCCG